TGACTGATATTATTATTATTATCTATATTTTTCTTTTATTTTTGAGAGCATACTCTACTTATATAATTTCTCTCTTTCTTTTCCTCCCTCTATATACCCCTCCACGTTCTCTTTCAAATTCACGGCCTCTTTTTTCATTAATTGTTATGACATGCTTGTATGTATATGTATGGGGGGGGCTCCGCCGGATAAGTTTGAAGTCTCGGGATAGCCATTTATTTGCACTCAGTCTATAATGATGGATGCCCTTTTCTCAGCGGGGTGCTAACAGTCTACCCTGATCTGGGTGGTTCCAGGTCTCATGAGGAGCATCACATAGCCCTCAGGGCAGATTACAGACCAGGTTAGTAGGCATTTTGGAATTCCTAGAAATGGGCCCACCCTGCTGAGGATCTTAGTCCAGCAGTGGCCTTCGACTGTACTTGGAGATCCCCTCATAGGGTAATTAAGGCCTGTATCTTCCTTCTTGTGATAGGACCATTAAGTATCCCTGACCCCCCTGACCCCGGCGAATCAAACACAGTCACCCTGGAAACCCCTCCCTCTGCCCAGGGTTTATATTGCCCTTGATTTCACAGGAATAAAGGTACTTAGATTTGCTCTTTTCTCACTTCAAGACTGTCTGAGATTCTTCATTTATCCTCTGCTAGGCAGCATCTCACCAGCCTGTGTCTTGGCTGCAGGCCAACCAGGCACGGGCCTTGGCCTGCACTTCTGCTGGGCTCAGCAGAGCAGCTTAACCAAGAGCTATAACCGTTTGGTATCGCCATAGGCTTTGGAACACCGCTGCCACCGGTTATCTCATGCTAAAAGAGCTAAACTGTAACACTCTGTGGCAAACACCCCAGCTTAGCCCACTGGGGCCTCACCCTAAAGTTCTCTAGCTGCCCCAGAGAGAAACGGACCCCCAACCCCAGTTCTCTGTCTAGAAGCTAAGCTACAGGACCCCACCAAATGGAGAATGACATATGTGTATGTGGATATGTATGTGTGTGTGTATATATATATGTATGTGTGTGTGTGTGTGTGTGTATATGTGTGTGTGTGTGTGTGTGTGTATATATATATTTCCATATATAACCTGCTCAGTCTGTATAATGTTACTCATATGTATGTTTTCAAGGTTGATCATTTGATACTGAGGTGGCCAATCAGTGTGGTCTTCCTTTGGGAAGACTATTTCCCCCACTCTCAGAATTCCTTAATTGCCTGTAGTTCTTTGCATAGGGTAGAGATCTAGCAGGCTTTTCCCCATCCCCTTTGGCATGTCTGTTGGTGTCCTCTGGTGTTGGGTATCCACCAGGGAAGACTAGTCAGACAAGGCTTTGAGCCAACAGACAATGAGCCAATGAATAACCGGGTGTTCCGGATCCCAGCATAACCCAAGCCTTTCTCAAAACTTTTGAGCTTTTAAGCACAAAAATCATGCCCTGGGTTGACATACATCAGTTAACAAGAACAGTTAGCCAGAAGCAGAACTACAGAAGCCAAAAGGGCAGGGTTAATATATTTTAGAGACTTTCCCAGAACTACGGGCTTTGTTGGATTGGGTCTTTGTTTTAGTTTTGGCTGGTGGGCAGTCTACGTGCTAAGTTTAGAGGCCTGAATGGCACTTTCACCATGGAGTCAGTTTTTCTGAGGTCTGGGGCCTGTTACAGTGTTTGCTCAGCTTATGCTTAGACACTCAGGTTGGTGAGAGTTTACAGGCACAACTTCTGACATTAGGAGGAGACAATGTATAATAGCAAACTCTGAGATCCTCTGGCTCTTACAATCTTTCTGCTGCCTCTTGCACAATGTTCCCTGAGCCTTAGGTGTGGGAGTGGTGTTGTGGATGTCTCTGCTGGGACTGAGCTCCATAACTGCATTTTGATTAATTATGGTTTCTGTAGCCATCTCCCTCTGCTGCAGAGAGAAGTTTGCTTGATGAGAGGTGAGAACTGCACTTGGCTGTGGGCGTAAAGACAAATATTTAGAGAGTAGTCAGGGACTGTGCTGGCTTACTCAAGTGATGATGGTAGGTTCTTCTCCAAGACCTATGACTTCCCTAGCCCTTTTGTCCAATCCCATGCTGATATTACGGACACGCACCACAGTGCTTGGCTTTTACGTGGGTGCTGGGGGATATGATCTCAGAGCAAGCATTTTACCCACTCAGCCATCCTTTTTCTCTGTGAGTGTGTGTGTGTGTTATCCCACATTGGCCTCCAGCTGGCTATGGAGCTGAGGATGACCTTGAACTCTAATGCTCCCGTTACTACCTCCCGAGTGCTGAGTTATATGCTGCCACCTCCATTTCGTGAGGTGCTGTGGATGGAACCCAGGGCTTTGAGCTAGGCAAGCTTGTTCCTAAACGGGGTTACATCCTTAGCCCATGGATTCCATTTTCTTCTTAATCTGTATGTGGCCTGGGACAGCCTTCTGACTGACTGAAGAGTCGGCAAGAGAGAGGGAGAGAGCCATGTCACAGGTTGCACCCAGGACCGCCACAGAAGCTGCAGGCGCCATCACGCATTAGGATATGAAGCTTCTGTATCACCCTCTGTAAATGCCGCCACTTACTCCTGTGAGATCTAAAAGAAACTCAAGACGAAAGGCTAGCAGCAGCGCCTATTAACATACTTAAGTGTCTGCTGGCCTCCAGGCTCACTCAGTACCCATAGCAATTCTCACCCTGCTCCCTACCCTGAAACTTCTCCAGCTCATGGGCTTCCCTTCCTCCAGATTTTTTTTTTCTTTTTGATTTTCTGAGACAGGGTTTCTGTGTACAGCCCTGGCTGCCCTGGAGCTTGCTCCATAGACCAGGTTGGCCTTGAACTCAAACATCCATCTGCCTTTGCCTCCCTAGTGCTTGGATTAAAAATGTGCACCACCACTGCCCAACCCTCTCAGTCCTTTATAACCCTGTCATTTCGGCCGTGCTCTGCTCCCTCTTGATCTTCTTTCTCTCTTGGCCGCCTCTCCCTTGGCCCCCTTCCTAACCCCTGTGGCCTGGCTGTGGTCCACCCTGCTAGCCATGTTTAGTCCTCTGCTTTCTCTCCCTGGACTCTCCCAGATGCCTCTGGCTGTATTTTCCATCATGTCTACAATAAAAACCTCCCCTCAACCATACCTCAGAGCAAGCACATCCTCACTGTATACATCTGGTGCCAAACCCCCACTTTAAGCAACTTCCTGTACACTCAGAATGAACTATGTCTTTACAGTATTTTCAGCTCTGTGGGGGCTGCCATGAAAATTGGAAGTATTGTTGCCTTCCTTCATCTCATCTCTTTTCTATTTGAACTGACTCCATTTCATCCAGACTTGTTATTCATTGCATTTCTGCTCGGTACCTGACAGGACTTCTTGTTCTGATTCATTGGTGCAAAGGCATTATTTTTCCCGTTCTCTGGGAAATGCAATTATGCCTTTCTGGGCTCTCAAGAGCTTGTGGGAGATGGACATTTCTGTTTAATGGCCCCTTGGCTTGGTAGGTTATGACGATGAGTGTAAATGGGATGCATCCTGCTTTGCTCTTTTGGTAATCTGTGAAATTGACGTAAACCCTGTGGCCTATGTGTTTTTTTACACCTCCCACTCTGATTATGAGTCACACTGAACCTAGAATTGACAATAGGCTGGTGACCTGAAAAAATGAGCCACAGCTTAATGACACCATCATTAGCCAGACCTTCTGTGGCCTCCTACTTTCTGACTCAACAATAGTCTTATTTTGCTGGTTGAAAGAGGATTCATTTGTGCTGGTGCTAGAGATGTTTGTATGCTTGCTTGCTGGGCTCAGTGTTAACTCTTTAATGAAACACTGTACATATTTCTTCTTCATGTCCTAAAGAAAAATATGACTAGTTTGATTTGTGTGTGTGTGTGTGTGTGTGTGTGTGTGTGTGCATATAACCCTTTGTCTTGCATTTTTGTCTCATTCTTTGCTTTGCATTATTTATCTTTTGTTTGTTTGTTCTTTTTTTTTTTTTTTCTTGAGACAGACTCTCATTCAGGCAGCACAGGTTGTCTTTGTAATTTCTATGTAGCTGAAGATAACCTTGAATTTCTGATGTTCCTGCCTGTACCTTCTGAGAGCTGAGATTTTAGGCATGGAAAACCACACATGGTTTATTTTGTGCTAGAGATGAACTCTAGGCCTTTACACAGGTTAAGCTACAGTCTGCTAACTGAGCGATACACTAGCCCATCTTTTTTCATTTTAAAAAGACAATTATGTTGTCAGGTGGTACATGCCTGTATTAATACCAGTATAGGGGAGGTCTAAAACAGGAGGTTTTTGCCAGGCATGGTGGCTCACACTTTTAATCCCAGCACTCCAGAGGCAAAGGCAGACAGATCTCTGTGAGTTCGAGACCAGCCTGGTCTACAAAGAGAGTTCAGGACAGCCAGGGCTGTGTTTAACAGATAAACCTGTCTCAAGAAACCAAAACAACAACAAAAACAGGAGGGTTTTTTTTAATTAAATTTTTATTTTTTTAATATTAGTTACAGTTTATTACTTTGTATCCCAGCTGTATCCCACTCCCTCATTCCCTCCCATTCCCACCCTCCTTGCCTCCCTCATCTTCTCCCTACCTCTTTCCAAGTCCACTGATTGGGGAGGACCTCTTCCCTTTTCATCTGACCCTAGCTTATCAGGTTTCTTCAGGTCTGGCTGCAAAGTCCTCCTCTGTGGCCTAGCAGGACTGCTCCTCCCTTGGGTGGGGTGGGGGGAGGTCAAAGAGCCAGCCATTGAATTCATGTCAGAAATAGTCCCTGTTCCCCTTACTAGGATATCCACTTGGATACTGAGCTACCATGGGCTACATCTGAGCAGGGGTTCTAGGTTATATCCATACATGGTCCTTGGTTGGAGAAACAGTCTCATAAAAGACCCCTGTGCCCAGATATATTTGGTCCTTGTGGAGCTCCTGTCCTCTCCAGGTCATACTAATTCCCCCTTCTTTCATATGATTCCCTGCACTCTGCTGAAGGATTGGTTATGAGTCTCAGTAAAAAATATGGAACGCTTCACGAATTTGCATGTCATCCTTGCACAGGGGCCATGCATCTTCCCTGCATCTTTCCAATTTTAGTATATATGCTGCCGAAGCAAGCACATCAGGAGGTTTTTAAATTTGAGGCCAGACAGGGTTTCCGAGTAAGACCTTGTCTCAAAACAAAACACAATACAACAAAACAATAATAAAGTAACGGTAGTGTCTCTCAATTGATGGTGGCTATGACTTTTACAATCTCATGGTTCTTCCCACTCATTCACTTCTCACTTTATCTTGTTCTAAAGTGTTATCGTTAGCACACAGAAAACCTGCGGTTTTAGGCCATATTAGTAATGAAATAAGTCAGTTTCTTAGCTAGGTTTTTCTATTTATTTACTTAAAAAAAAGTTTGCATGATATCTCTGAGTCTCTGAAACAATTGCTTCCCCCCCCCCCCCCCCCCCCGAGATAGGGTTTTTCTGTATAGCTTTGGCTGTCCTGGACTCGCTTTGTAGAGGAGGCTGGCCTGGAACTCACAGAGATCCGCCTCCCTCTGCCCCCGTGAGCGATGAGATTACTGATATGGGCTGAAACAATCACTTAAAAAATCATTTATTTTTATGTATATGAGTGCTCTATCTGCTTATAAACCTTCTGATGCCATAAGAGGGCATCATATCATGTTATAGATGGTTGTGAACCACCATCTGGTTGCTGGGAATTGAACTCAGGGCCTACTGGAAGAGCAGACAGGGCTCTTAACCACTGAGCCATCTCTCCAGCCCTAAAACAACCACTTTTAACAGCTACTCTCATTTGTCCAACAATGTTATACAATATATCATGGATACATTTTGGCAAGTATCTGGCTCATTTGTATCTGTATGACTGTAGATGTTTCAGATTACTATAGAAAAGGGACTCACAGTTCAGGGGCAATTTTCGTTAGTTACTTTTTTCATTGTTGTGACAAAGCATTTGACAATGGCAAGTTAAGGAAAGAAGAGTTAATTTTGGCTCATGGTTCTAGGTATGATCCATCATAGCAGGGAAGGTATTGCTGTAGGAGCAGGAGATGGCTAGTTATATTGAGTCCACAGTCAAAAACCATGAACACTAGTAAACACTATCGCTTCCTTCTTTATTCCCTTCTTACTGAATCCGGGACCCTTGGCTATGGCACAGTGTCTGCCAAATTCAAGGTGGGTCTTCCTCCTTCAGTTACACCTCTTTGGAAACACCTTTATAGACACAAAGAAGTACGTCTAATAGGTAATTCCAAATTCAGTCAGGTTGACGATGAAGATTGGCTACCAGTAACTACAAGAACAGGTCAGGGATGATGGGGAAAGGAGGGAAGAGTAGGCAAGTTCCCTGGTTGGCATCATGGAAATTACATACTGCTTAAATCCACTTGTAGAAGTGACTGCATTTGGAGATGGGACTCTGAAAAAGCTAGTTAGAGCGAAATGAGGTCAGCAGGATGGCCCCTGATTCAACAAGATTTGTGTTCCAGTAAGTATAGAAGTTTAAAACACACAGAACTCACAGGCCGAGAGATAAGTATGGGAAATCACAGTGAGAAAGCCCCAACTATGAGCCAAGAAGGTGAGCTCAGAAGAGATCAACCCCTCTGACTTGTAGCTCTTGGCTGTCCAGCCTTCAGAGCTGTGAGGAAGTGAACTTCTCTTGTCTCAGCATGCCAGCCTGTGATACTTTGTTATAGAAGTGCCAACAAGCTAATGAAGCTGATCCCAGGTGCCTGCTCTGGAGACCAACTCAGAGAGCAGGAGACAGGCAGAGCCACTGGTTTGGAATCTTCTGAGTCCAACTTTGAAAGTTCTGGGTAAGTCATCAGATAAAATGTGGCTAACAGAGGAAGAATCCCTTTTGAAGACAGCAAAGGGGACACATGCAGCTAACAGAAACCACACTCAGGTCAGGGATGAAGGGAGAGCTTGCAGATGCCCTCTTGTTAGGAATTTGGTTGCAACATACTCTGTTTCCTGAGGGCTGGTGCTCTACTCTTCCTTGGAAATAAACAGAACTGTAGAAGGAGCCATACAAAGCCAGGGATAGTGGCACACCCTGTGATCCTAAGACTTGGGAGATAGAAGCAGTAATATCAGGAATTCAAGGCTAGCCTCTGATTACATAGTGAGTTTGAGGCCAGCCTGTGCTACACGAGACCTTCCTTGTCTTTAGAAAAAAAGGTGTGTGTGTGTGTGTGTGTGTGTGTGCGCGCGTGCAAAGAGAGAGCTTAGCAGGTAAGAGTTTTGCTGTGCTAGCCTTAGTACCTGAGTTTGATCTCCAGAACCACAGTGAAAGGAACCACTCCCAAAGGCCGTCCTCTGTCCTCTCCGTAAGAATGACATGGCATGTACATAACTCCATGTACATGCACATATCACATAGATCGCATATCACTCATATTCACAATTCATTCATCCATTCCCTTGAAATTGATGGCGGTAGGTACACACCCTCAAAGTACTCTGGAGGCATTTGCAGATGGATCTCTTCGAGTTCAAGCCCAGCCTAGTCTACATAGCAAATTTCAGGCCAGCCAGAGCTACATAGTGAGACCCTGTCTCAAAGAAATAAGTAAAGAAAGAAATAAAATTTACAGAGGGTAAGAGACATAAAAGAAAACAAAGGTGCAAGTCGGGGAACAGCACAGAATCCATCAGAATCCACCAGCGTCTCTGACCAAACAAGGAAGTTCGGAAGCCACCTGGTTTGCAATGCTCTGCCTGACACCCTACAACGCTGGCACGGAAGTGAACAGGACAGGAACAAGCATGGTCTAGAGAAGTGTCTGTCTTGGTCTTGGGGGTGGGGCAATTCAGCAGATCCTCCAAAATGCCAGACCTGTGCTGGGGGTCTGCCACAGACCCCGGGGATAGTTCCTCCTTCTCCCCCTCCGCTTCCCCCTCCTCCTCTCCCTCTTCCTCTTTCTCTCCCTCTCCCTCTCCTGTTCTCTCTGATACACATGGAAGCAGAAACTGCTGGCTGAGGTCCCAGGAGGACAGCTCTTGAGAGAATTCATCAGCACAGAAAGACAACACATGGAGCTTTAGAATTAGAGTATGTCCCCAACTGTGGGATGATTATTTTTCCTCTGATGCAAAGGACCTTCTACACAGCGTTCTCAACCATCCCAGAGCTGCTTGGCCATGCAAATAGGCTCACTGTTGAGAAATTTCCCTTTATGAGACAGAATTACCACTTAGCAACAGTACAGGGAGCTAAGTCCTAGAACTGAAATGTTTTCTTTTAAAATTCTCTCTCTCTCCCTTTTCTCCTCCCTCCCTCCTTTTTCTCCCCCCGCCCATGTGTGTGTGTTTGTGTGTGTACATATGTGTCCAGGTGTCCAAGGAAGCCATATGTGTTGGCATCTCCTGGAGCTGGAGTTACAGTGGGTTGTGAGCCACACAATGTAAGTCCTCTGCAAGAGTGGCAAGTCCTCTAACCGCTGAGTCATTTCTCCTTGCCTGGCAATGTTCCCTTTAATCTTTCAGAGATAAAGAATGACGTCCTGGTTTCTGTGTTTAGTGGGTGGCATGCTGCATGTGATGTTTTCTTACAGAGGGACTGTGTGGTTTTCTAAAGCACAGATATGTGGCTGACTGTAAGTGAAGCATCATTCAGAATCTGGGAATCACCAGGAGGCAGGTCGTGTGATGGGAACTGGCTGGATTAGATGTTCGGGATTAGACGTTAGGAGGCCTGATGTCATCACGATTTAATCCTCGGAGGTGGCAAGTAGCCAAAACTTGCCGAGGCTACATCGGTGACTGCTGGAGTTTTCTTTTTTCCTCCATGGAGAAGGCAAATGAGGAATAGGTTCCAAAAATGAATTGAATAGAATCCCCCAAAAGGGGCCCGTGAATGTCACTTTATTGGGAAATAGGGCTGGGCACAGGGACACACATTGACAACCCTAACATGAATTCAGGGCCAGCCTGGTTTACATAGTGAGTTCTAGGTCAGCCAGAGCCAAAGGAGACCCTGTCATTTAAAAGGGTTAGGGTAGATGGCTGGAGGGAGGGCTCAGCAATTAAGAGTTTACGCTGCTCTTATACTGAGTTCAGTTCCCAGCACCACACGAGGCGGCTCTCGACTGCCTGTCACTTCAGTTTCAGCATTGGTGGTCCATCCACTTCTGGCCTCCACAGGGACATACTCTCTCCATCCCCAAATACACATAACTTAAAAAAATTACACAAAAATAGGAACTTCACAGCTGTAATGAAAGACCCTGGGTGTGGTGGTTTGAATAGGAATGGCACCCATAGAGTCACATGTGTGAATGTTTGGCCTATAGTGAGTAGCACTATTAGCAGATGTGGCCTTGTTGGAGGAATGTGACACACTGCCTGCAAATGGGGGTGGGCTTTGGGGACCCGTTCAGTCCCCTTCTGCTGCCTGCGGATCAAGATGTAGAACTCTTGGCTCCATTTCCGGCACCATGTTGGCCTGTGTGCCGCCATGCTTCCTGCCATGACGATAATGGACTAAACCTCTGAAACTGGAAGCCAGCCCCAATTAAATATTATCCTTTATAAGGGTTGCTGTGGTCATGGTGTCTCTTCACAGCAATAAAACCCTGACTATGACCCTATGGTTATTGGCAGTAGAAGCAATGAGCAGAACCAATGTCCCTTCTAAGGGACAGAGAGGGAGAAGAGACACAGTAAAGACAATGGGAAGCTCACTGAAGACTCGTTGAAGTGAAGATAAAGACAGAGACTAGAGCAATCCAAGTCAGGGAGTACAAGAACCAATGCATTCCTTGAAGACAGGTCTTGAATGTCTTCTCTTAGAGCCAGTCTGGTGGTACTTTCTTCATTTTAATCTCTTCAAAATGGTGAGAAAATAAATGTATTACCTACCTACATACATACATATATATATATATATCAGGAGGGGAAGGGGAAGATATCCTCAGCTCTTAGCTAGGCTCTTAATTGAGAAGTGAGGGTGCTGGGTGTCCATGGACGCACAGCCTATACTTAGATGGTGTCCTTTGGGTTCTTGTTTCTTCAAATCAAAGGATGAGATTCACAAACCACAGCAGGTGAGTTTTGGAAAGAAGAATCTTGTTATAGGAAGCTTAA